GAAAGGCGCAAGCTAAAAAAGCATAGCACTGCGCTTCAGCTCCTCAGCCCGGGGCAGTAATATTGCCCGTGCGACGACGCAAATAAAAGGCGTCTGGAAGTGAATTGAACTGGATACTAGATGCATCATGAACAGCCGTCGGCAAAAGGTTATTACACGCACTATCTACTGGGAATAATAAAATTTTTGCCTAATAAGATGTGGGCTCTGAGCTTGAAAGTCTTACCATATGCACGCCGCGTGTTTGATAGGTCAACGGTGAAAAACATGTTGGCTAAACCTTGGCCCCAAAAACCACCCACTCCGGTCGCCCAACGGTTGACCGTGACCGCCGGCGTTTTAGTCGAATACGGTCGAAATACGTTTAAAACCAACGACCCAGGTGCGTGCTGCTCAAAAGGCACCTGTTGCGCGCAACTGCCCTACTCTCTGCGCTCTCGGGCCAGTCTGGACCCCTACAGCCAAGTCATACTACGCGAATACGGTCGAAATACGTTTAAAACCAACGACCCTGCCAGGTGCTGCTCAAAAGGCACCTGTTGCGCGCAACTGCCCTACTCTCTGCGCTCTCGGGCCAGTCTGGACCCCTACAGCCAAGTAAGTCATACTACGGAGTCGCCAACTCCGGGAAGGGTCCCCCAAGATACCCCTAACAACCGCTGTCCCGCGGTCCAGACTTTTGAGTCAGAGGCTAGGGCAGGGTCCCTGAACAAAACCCCGACGTCCCTCCACCGCTCGTGGGTCAAACTTTTGAGTCAAAGGTTCAAGGTTGGGCACCTCAACTAAACTCCCTAATTTTGCCTGGGCAACCAGGAAGTATCGTTTGCTCTTGCAGCTTTTCTCCCACCGACCTTCATTCCCTCCCAATCAATTGTACAGTGCAGTGCGATCTAATCATCTGCCAATCGCCTAGCCACTGTTCCGTATCTCAACCATCGCACAGAAGAATGAACCAAAATATTCACCTACTAACCTCAAAAGATCTATTCCACGTTGCAGCCTTTAGTGTCCGTACTCCATGTCAAATTGGGCAACAGGCATCTCTTACTGAAACCTCACTTTCCCACTCTATTTACGTATGTTGTGTCTCCGAAATACGCATACAAGACCCGTTTGGTCATCTTATATCGCTCGGGGTGAACCCAGATTGTTTGCACTTTACTACTCGGGCGTCTGGTAATCGTGATACAATGGCTTATGGTATCTACGGTGTGAGGGTTTTAATTAGTCCCAGAACTAATTGTGCTTCACTAGAATCGATTCCGGTGAACAGTTTTCTCTGCGTTGTCCGGTTGACTGGCTCAATCAAGTTTAATCCATCACTGTGCTAAGCGGTGTTTTTTGTTATGTCAGCATACTCTTCGTCAAATAGTATCTCTGAGACTGAGAACGTCCTTCTATCGAATTTGCCACAGTTGCTTCGGTCAGCGGGAACTAAACGTATCACCATTCTGGCAGATGGTGCAGATGCTCCGGTTGACAGACCAAGTCCCACCTTAGAAACCGGTGCGGGAATGATGCTCACCGCCCAGATAATGGAGAGCGTTGCACATCATCTGTTTCTGGCCAGTACAAGCGACCACGTCGTGTTAACTGTGGGGCACCAGCTGCA